TCAGGCTGTCAGCACCCCGCACATTGCTTTGCAGCCTCTTTTGAAGCTTCCTTTTCCATTTCACATCTTCAAAGTTTGTATTACAGAAAGAAAAAAGAAAAAAAAACAACAGTTGTTTCCGTGAAACCTCTCCTTCTGAATCTATCCAAGATGCTTCTGCAACACAGCCAAGCCTTCTGCCCAGTCGTGTTCCAAATAAACCAGGACTCGCGGCTCCTGCTGTTTCCATTAATCTGACAAATGTATCAGCGGGCCCACTTCTGACATCTTCCCACTTCTTCCAGTGGGACACAAAAAAAGACCAATTTTCTGTGAACGTCAGACATTTGGAAGCATTTAAAAGCCCAGAAAATGACTAAGAAAGCTGGCAAGGTGCAGGAAAGATGCCAGGCACCTCTACATCTCTGGCTCACTTTGTTTCCACCTAGAATTTACGTGTAAATTGGGCAGCCTGGTAGTGCATCTCCTGCCAACATGCAGCTACAGTCAAACCTGTCTGCAATTCAGGGGCAGAGGCTTAATTACAGCAGTAAATTAAAGCATCCATTTTCCCTGGCGCTGGAGCAGAAAGCATCTGGGCAAACGATGCAGGCTGTTGGCTGACACGTACCTTACTCCAAAGCAGTAAAACGTCTCAAAGCTTCCCAAAACAACCATCCACATCACACACAGCCTCCACAACAGCCTCAAAAACTGTCGTTTATGGTGGGATAAGGAGTAAAATGCTTCAGGCTTGTGCACTGGCACTTTCAAGATGCACACAGCCTGGTCAGTGCTTGTTCACTGCGCTGCCTTCGCTTCTGCAACCTACACGGATCCAGTGGTCCTAGACACAAGGAAGTCAAAAACTCTCAAAAGGATTCAGCTAGAGGACATCAAATGAAGTTACCCCAAGGGACACACACACCCCCTTCAAGCACTTTTTTGGATGAAGAGCCCTACTCTGTTCACTCACTCTTTAAAGGGAATACTTTTATTTGCTCATGCTGCCCTTCCTGTAGGTCTTCCAGCTCTGCATTTTTCCCAGCAGGAGCCACACACCCCAACACTCACAGGCAGGTGCACAATGCAGATGGCACAGCAGGGACACGTGCAGTAGTAACACTAAATCCAGTATTAGTTGGCTTTTGAATACAAGAAACAAGATAATGTTTGGAAGCATTTAACCAAAATGATTTCTTCTGAAGCCCAAGCAGCACCTTCAGAGCTCACCACCATTCACGGACTATTCAGATCGCCTTTTCTCCCCACGGGACCACTTTGAGAGACCACGTGATAAACTGGATGATGTTTGTTGTGGACAAACTTACTTGGTCTTGCATCACGTCTCAGTTCTGTTTTTAACCTCAACAACCGGTATCATCAGCACAATTTATTGCAGGTCAAGACTATCCTGTCCCTTGCTTCTGTGACTCCAGCCTGATGTGGTCCCATTTACCTCAACCCTTTGAGCCCTGCCCGTCAGCCAATTGCTCACCCATCGGATGATGTTTTTGTTTAGCTGTATGCTGGGCACTTGGTCCAGTGTGGTGTAAATGCCTGAAGTAACTAGGAAAATAAAACTAACATTCACATTTTTAAGGAAAAGGTACAGCATTGAAGAGGCTTTCAGGGTAGGGCATAACTGCATTATCTGAGCGTTCCCTCGGCTCCCAACCTTAGATGCTATCGCGCTGGGGAAACTTGGTGTGCTAGCTCTAAGGTACACCACGGAGCGTGGAGTGGAGTGGAGACACCACGGCTAGGCTCTGTAATCAGGTGGGGCCTCGATTGTTCTTGTGCACAAAGCTGCACTTTTTGCCACCCTAAGCCAAAGACCTGTCATGTTTTGACAAATGCTGTACCCTAGTGTACTTTTTGCTCATTATAATATCATTAAAATACCAAAACACACCTCCATCCCAAAAGCTACCCGCCTCCAAGGTGCGACCACCCCTCACTGAGCATGCGCTCTGAATTTCTCGGAGCCTATTACTTTAAACGGAGACGGGAAAACTTTACACCAATCATAACTAAGATATGCTTGACTAGAGCCACTCAAGCTCCACCTAAAAGATAGAAAATAATATAAATTGGCCCAAGAGAGAGGGGATGTTAGGGAAGATACCATCGTCAGGGGAGATACCATCCCGAGGACATACAACATCCTTAGGACCTCCTGACTCCTGGGATCAGTCGACGGGCTGAGCCTCTCTTCCCCCCCCATTGGGACGCCTTTGGGTGAGATCTGAATATTTGCTTATAAATCTCTATAGAGTCTTTGATCCTTTTAACGCGTTTATTTCTAGGCTGCGCACCTGGAACACCTGGAACACCTCACCTAGAACACCTAGAACACCTAGAACACCTAGAACACCTAGAACACCTAGAACACCTAGAACACCTAGAACACCTAGAACACCTAGAACACCTAGAACACCTAGAACACCTAGAACACCTAGAACACCTAGAACACCTAGAACACCTAGAACACCTAGAACACCTAGAACACCTAGAACACCTAGAACACCTAGAACACCTAGAACACCTAGAACACCTAGAACACCTAGAACACCTAGAACACCTAGAACACCTAGAACACCTAGAACACCTAGAACACCTAGAACACCTAGAACACCTAGAACACCTAGAACACCTAGAACACCTAGAACACCTAGAACACCTAGAACACCTAGAACACCTAGAACACCTAGAACACCTAGAACACCTAGAACACCTAGAACACCTAGAACACCTAGAACACCTAGAACACCTAGAACACCTAGAACACCTAGAACACCTAGAACCACCTAGAACCCGCACCTAGAACCCGCACCTAGAACCCGCACCTAGAACCCGCACCTAGAACCCGCACCTAGAACCCGCACCTAGAACCCGCACCTAGAACCCGCACCTAGAACCCGCACCTAGAACCCGCACCTAGAACCCGCACCTAGAACCCGCACCTAGAACCCGCACCTAGAACCCGCACCTAGAACCCGCACCTAGAACCCGCACCTAGAACCCGCACCTAGAACACCTGTAACACCTGTGTATTTCATGCATACTAGCTTGCTTTTGCAGATAGTCACTATCACCGGCAATCCAAAAGAACCTGATTATCTGTTGCTGTAATAAACCATACTTGATTGCATTGTGATAGCTCTCATTAATGCGACTAGGGTGAGGGTGGTTATCCGTGATAGTTCAGTGTTCTGAATCTAACCAGACCCCCAGACGGTTAATGCATTGTTGGTGAATGTCTGAACGGACCCCCAGGTGGTTAATACGTTTTTGGTGAATGTCTGAGCGGACCCCCAGGTGGTTATTACGTTTTTGGTGAATGTCCGAACGGACCCCCAGTTTTGGTGAATGTCCGACTGGTTCAGTACTCTGAATCCAACCGGGCCCGTAACGGTTAATCAGCTACACCCCTTTAACGCGACATCCAGTAGGATCCTATGGGAAACTGTCTCAAAAGCTTTACCGAAATCCAAAAAGATCACATCAGCTGGTTTCTCTTGATCAAAGAGATGGGTGATCTTATCATAAAAGGAAATCAAGTTAGTCAAACAGGATCTATCCCCCATGAACCCACATTGGCTGTGACCTATGACTGCTCTGTCCCCCAGCTGTGTCTCAATAACTCCCAGGATAATCTTCTCCCTAATTTTACCAAGCACTGACATGAGACTGACAGGCCTGTTGTTACCAGGTTCTTTCTTCCCTTCTTGAAAATTGGTACATTTGCCAGCTTCCAGTCAACAGGGACCTCTCCAGATTCCCAAAACCACTGAAAAATAATTGGGAGGTCCCACAATGACCTCAACCAGCTCTCTAGGCACCCTGGGATGAATCCCATGCAGACCCATGGACTTGTATGGATCCAGGTGGAGCAGCAAATCCCACACACCTTCAGGGTTGGCTGGGAGTTTATTATTCCTACCATCACAGTCCTCCAGCTCAGGAAACCCGGGGTCCCGAAGCCCATCATCAGCGTTGAAGACAGAGGCAAAGAAGGCATTAAACGTCTCTGCTTTGCCTATGTCCTTGTCTGTGAGATGACCTCTCTTGGGCTTCTCCTTACTATTATCATGATAAACTTAGCCAAAAGTTCTGCAGAAAGGTAAAAAGAGCAAGTGAAAAACAACCCGAGTCACAGAATTTCACGTCCACAAGCACACACACTGAGGGCTGGAGAGATTAGACAGGATACACCAAGCTACCTGTACACCACCCAGCCCCACATCAGCTACTGACACTTGGGAAATCTCTCGGGGAGACCACACACTGCTCTCTACCTCATTAGCCAGGTGCTTAGAGGAGCCCAAACAAACAGAGTATCAGAAACCCTGTGGGAAGACATGAACAACCAGAGACCTTTCTATGCCACAACACAAGGCCTTGGTGCTCAATATACTGAACAACATGAATAATCTCCCTGTCTCAAAGATCAGCAGTTACCCTCCTCTAGGCTACAGCAAAAATCAGATTAAAAAAGGTCCCACGAGGGAAGAAGCAAATTTTTGGACTGTTATTCCATTGAAGGCACGAGGTTCATGCCTCAGGACCTAAAGAGCACGTGTCCCTTTGTCTGCCATAGCCTCATCTTTCAGCATAGGTGTTTTTCAGGCTACACTTGGAGCTGCATCTGAAATCCAACCAGGTATGTACATGGCACATTTCAAAAACTCAGCCTGGCATGAGTTTCAATACGCATCCCAACTAGAAACCAACAAGTATTCCAGTTCTGTCAGTCCCTTCAGTTCTGTTCTGCAGGAACTGATCTCTTCTTTCTTTAGAAACACTTTTTTTTTCCTCAAGAAGCTCACTGTGCTGCAATGGGAGCACTTTTGGAAAGCAGAGAGAAAGCATAAAGGGATTTTAAAGGCCAGAATCACAAATTTTTCACGCTGCTCCCATTACCACCCTGCACAAGCCAGCCAGCTCCTGGAAATCACACAGACCCACGTGCTGCTTCTTGTTTGACTTCCCCTCACCTTAAACCCTGCCCCACTTACCTCGCCCGAGTAACTGTATTTTCCTTTCAGGATCTGCCGGTATAAGCGGGTGCGGTTGTCATCTTCAAAGGGCATGGTGCCGCTCAGGAGGATGTAGGAGATCACGCCCAGCGCCCACATGTCCACCGAGTTAGTGTAGGGCTTCCTGACCAGGATCTCCGGAGCAATGTACTCCGGGGTCCCACAGGTGGTTTTCATCAGGCAGTCATCGCCCTTCTTCCGAGCGCTTGCCAGTCCAAAGTCCGTAATCATGATTTTGGAATCCGTCCCGGGATGGTAGTAGAGCAGATTCTCGGGCTTCAAGTCCCGGTGCGTGATACCCAGCGTATGCAGGTACCTCACCCCGTCCAGCACCATCTGCAGCACGCGCGTGGCATCCCTCTCCGTGAAGGAGCCTTTGGCAATGATCCGGTCGAACAGTTCTCCCCCGGTCGCCAGCTCCATCACCATGTACACGCGGTCCTGGGTCTCAAACACCTCTATCAGCTGGATTATGTTGGTGTGCCGCACCCGCCGCAGCACGCTGAGCTCCGACTCGCACACCTCCCTCCCCTCCCGGTATTTGGTCTCGATCATCTTGATGGCGTAGGGCTGCTTGGTGGCCTTGTGCTCCACCCGTACAACGCGGCTAAAGCTTCCCCTTCCGATCAGGGCTTTAATGTCGTACTTGGCCGTCACTCTGGGGTCAAATTTGGCACGGTATTTAGCCACTTTGTTCTTGCGGGGTTCGGGCTGGTCCACGTGGGGAGGCAGGTGGGTACCGGGATACGGGTTAGCGTGACGCGGAGGCGAGGGAGAGCCAGCTTTGATGACAGCCCCACAGTCATCTTTGATGAAGTGCTTGTATATGTCATTGTGGCCTGTGTAAGGTTCTACTTTTTTAACCAGGTCTAGCTGCACATCTTTGGGGGGCTCGGGAAGAACCTTGCTTGTCCCACAGCCCATCACTGAAGGGTGTTAATTCCCTGTCAAGGCATTTTCCCAGGGCAGCATCAGCAGCAACCACATCTGCAGCAACTCCCACATCCGAACCTTACAAAAAGGACAAGAAAAAAACACAGATAAACAGGAATCAAGGCAGTCAAGTTTCAAACAAGAAAAAATGCAAGCAGTTCATGTCTCAACAGAGCCATGCTACCACGAACTAAGAGCTGGGAATTTACACCATACTTCACTACAGAGTAATATAATAATAATAATAAATAATAATAATAATAATAAATAATGCTTTGCCACTTTCATCACAAGATAGTGCCTATAAAAAAAAAAACAGTCCTGGTCAGAACAGATGTCCATGGAAATTCCATAGCTCCCCTTTTTCATTAAGCACAGTTTGCCTAAAGCTGTCTCCCAGCTGAGCACTGAATCACAGAACAGCTGAGATTGGAAGAGACCTCTGCAGGTCACCTCATCCAGCCCCAGCTGCTGAACAAAGGTCAAGGAACGAGCTGAGTGCTTTCCTTAGCTTTGTTCAATCTGATAAACTTTGTAATACACCCAATGTCCCAAATCTTTTAGTTCTGAAATTTCTCATTAGAAGCTCCACAACTATCTCAGCAGCTTGTTCATTCAACAAACCCTCCTGACATTTTCTTTGTATTGTAAGTTGTACTGGTGTTTTGAATCTCTCACTACTTAGCTCTTAGGGATCAATGAAACTGCTGCAGAAGGCAAGGAATACTGAGACAGAGGCAGGCTGCTTTTAAGATGCATTTTACCAATTAATTTAGTGCACCTCTTGGAGGAGAAAGAAAAAAAAACAAAACAGATCTTGTTTAACCAGAGCAAGCTTTTAGCTTCATTCTCCAAGCCCTAAGAAATCAGGTGGGCTCTGACATCGGGAAGCGTCCTGACTCAGTTTTGCTTCCTTTTGCATCTTCAGAGACCAAGCTGCACTTCTGTTCTTCCCTACCGAGCTGCTGATAAGGAAGTGGAATTGCCACCAGCTGTTCCAGATGGGAGCAAAGAGAGGTCCTGCTCCCCACGCTGTATTCCAACAGAGCCAAATCAGCTGCGGCCCAGCAAGTCTTTACTTTAGGTCCTGATTAAAACAGTCTGGAGGTGGAGAAACTGCCTGCATGCATTCTAGCAATTAGCTGGGCAGTTTTACGATCCTACTCTTTGGCTCAGCGTGGTGCCTCAGCAGTTTGCAGAGGACTGTAGCAGAGCTGTTTGCCTCGAGACATGAGGTGGAGCTTACCAGCACCAAGCGTGTCCTCCCTCATCCACCACCTCCCCGAGGAACCACTCAGCACCAACAGCAGGAGGTGCTTTAGCAGGGCCTCAGGAAGAAGCTCAGGCTCCACATTCAGTCTGGAAAGGAAACACGGGGTTAGTTAGGATTTTATTTTTAAAATCAGACGCGAACACGGTGACTTCTTGTGGAACCTACGGGCTGTGCCAAGGGCAGGCACGAGCACGCTCACACCACAGCGCAATTAACTTCACAGAACGCTTAATTAAGACTTGGAGTCACCGACAGCTGGCTGTTTACCCGGATTAGCGCCCTGCCACCACGAATATATTTAATATTTACACCACCCCCGAGTAACGCCGTGCGCCAAACCCCCGACACCCAGCGGAGGGCGGGCAGGCAGCGACCGGAGAACCCCGGGGGGCTACGGGGGGACGTCCCGAGCAACCGAGGCTCCCTCCCGGAGCCCCTCAGGCCGCCGGCGGAGCCCCGGGGACCGGGCACGGAGCGGGGGTCCCGGTGCGCGGCCCCCTCCCCTGCCCGCGGGGTCCCGCTGCGGGCCCCGCACTCACCTCAGGCCGCTCGGCCCCGGCCCGGCCCCGCCTCCCGACGTCAGCGCCGCGCGCCGCGCACGCCCGTGGCTGGGAGAGGAGGGGAGGGAGGGGGAGGTGGTGCCTGCAGCGCCCCCTGCCGGCGGCCTCCGGGAGGTGGCGGCGTTGCTGTGGGGGGGGGGGAGCCAGGCATGGCCGCCCCTGTGAGGGCTCTGTGAGGGGATTGGGACTCCCGCTGTGGTGGTTGTGGGGGCTCCACGCCCTGTGTTGTTGCACCAAGCAGCCCCTTGGCACGGCCAGTCCGTGCCCTGTATGCCAGCACTGCACACTTGCCCGTCAAGCAGCCCCTCTTCACGCCCCCCACCATTTTAGGCAGCTCCTCAGGGGCGCTGTGTGTCCTCCCCTCAGAGCAGCCCTGGCAGCGGTAACCTCGCCGAGCGTTGGATTCCCTCAGGGCTCTGTGTTGTCCCTTAGCAGCTTCCTCACGGCTGGCTCATGAGAACATCAGTCCAAGCGTTTGTAGCTCTCCGTCGCTGCTGCTAATTGTCGGTGCAGAGAGCCAACGCGTATTGAAATCCTATGCCAGAACCTCAGATTTCTGAGAGCTTCAATCAGAACATCTCTTTCTTGTATTATTTATGCCATGGAGGCCCACCAGAGCCAAGAGAACATTGCACCAGACATCCACAACGAGCCAGCAGGCCCACCCCAAAAAGTACCAAGGGTCAAGGCCAGGAAGGACCCACAGCTTGCAGCAGAAGCCAAGGAGAAGACTGGTTATGGAGAACATCCGTCCAGGGATAAATTGGTTACAACATCGTAAGTTTGGGTTCAGAACTAGACAGAAAACTTCCTTCACGTACCAGGAGACTGCTGTAGGACGAACCACCTCTGACTGCCGGCTGACTTTCTACACCTGTTCAGAGGAGAACAGACCAAGGCCAACATGACCAAGGCACGGCTTTGGCATTCATTTTGAGATCCCAGAATCACAGATTCATCCAGGTTGGAAGAGACCTCTGAGATCACCGAGTCCAACCTCTGACCTAACACTGACCAGTCCTCCACTAAACCATATCACTGAGCTCTACATCTAAATGTCTTTTAAAGACCTCCAGGGATGGTGACTCCACCACTTCCCTGGGCAGCCCGTCCCAATGCCTCACAACCCTTTTGGTAAAGAAGTTCTTCCTAATAGATGAAGACTCACAGAGGACAATTTAGCCATGACAGTTGTTATTCAATCTAGAGCCATTTCTCCAGCTACAGCCAGCAAAGTTTCATGCCCATGGTAAACACAGCTGGGGCTCCAGGTGCCGGAGGGGCTCTGTAGCCTCCCACCCCAATAAGATCTGGGTGCACCGCTCTGCCAAGCTTCACCCTGCTCCTCCTCACCTGCCTCTTCAGAAAACCCTACAAATAAAACAGAATCACAAAATAGGCTGCAGGGATGTCTGCAAAGCAGCAGCAGCAGAGGTGGCCCTGTAGTAGCCTGGCTGCTCCCTCCTGGGAACCGGCATGCCTCTTCCACTCCTCAGGCTGCAGAGGGACAAAGTGAAGGGCGCAGGGCTCACGGCGAGGTCCTTCTTTGCCATACAAAGACCACCAGGGGAGTGCAGTGGGCTCAGCCTCAATGGACATGAAGCCAGGTGACAGCTTGTTCCCAAACCCACATGGTAGCGAGCTCAAGGTTGTCCCAGCAAGGCCGAGCAGAGGTCGGAGCAGGAGGATGTTCAATTAAATCTGCTTAGAAAAGGAAATCCAACTTCCCATATGCCTCCGTGGAGAAATAAAGCCCCAAAGCTGAGCGCAGAGGGGGTGCCAGGCTGGGGGCCGAGCAGTGGCCCCGCTGCAGAGGTGACTCTGGCTCAGCTGTTCCCGCTGCAGCCGATCCACGGGGATTGGGGTTGCCGTTTTGTGTTCCTATGGAAAGTTCGACATTTGGCTGGGCAGAAATCCCCACACGGCCTCGGACAGAGGCCAGCCCTGTGACACAGTGTCCTCTGCTCTCCGTCAGCCCTGAGCCCGGCTGGAGTACGGAGAGCACTTGGGAAGCGTCAAAGCATGGGAGAAGGTGTCATACCGTCTCCTTGCAGCCCTCACCTTCACCAGCAGGAATTTCCTTGGGTGAAGGAAAGGAAGATCAAACCACAGTGTGGTGGAAGCAGTGAGCAGCATGGCCAGGACATTGGCCCTCGTGTCACCATGCCACGTGCGCTGTCGTGGTCACACAGCTGCCCAGAATAGTGTCACCATCTGGTTCCAGCTGCCCAGGGATGTGGGAGCCTCTCCAGTCCCTTCTGCGATTACAAAAAGTGAATTTGTGCATCAACTCAACCTAACTCTGCCTTCCCTTATCCCTCTTTTTTTTTTTTTTTTTTTTAATAATTCAGGTTTGTCTCTTAGAAAAGAGAGAGGGAGATAATGTCTGCCGAGCATTTAATCTTCTGCCCAAAGAATAGCAGAGAGCAAATTAGGATCTACTCCAATTAATTTGCCTTGATGGGCAAAATCTGGAGAGCAGCCATATCTGGGAATTAAGAACAAAAGCGGGGAGTGTAAAGTAGGTCGCTGGAGTTTCATAACCCGAGCGATGGGTTTTCGCGACGTGCCGGGTGCTCAAAGGTGCCCGTCCAGCCCCACCGGTGAGCACCGGTGGCTGTGGCGCTGCTGTGAGCACCCACCTGTGGGGAAACCTTTGAGCTGGCTTTGGGATTTAAAGGAAAAAATAACTGGCAGGACGGAGTGGATGGGGACATGGCGCTGGGGACCAGCCAGCCACACCACGTGAGCTCTGCTGGAGGAGTCAGTTACTCCTCTGGCTGCATTTTAGGGAGAAAATCCTTTCAGGGAAAAAAAAATAATGTTTTTTTTTTTTTAATGCCTAAGCAGAGCTTTCCCCAGAACCAGCCTGGCAATAAACCTTACCAGCCCTGGTCTCAGCTTGTGCAGTTGCTTTAAGGACAGCAAGAGGCAGGCCAGCGTGCAGTGAGCCAGCTGCTGGGTGCAGGAAGGAAGCTGTGTCCCTCCCTTTGCCCCGTCTGCCTTTGCCACAACCCCCTGAACCCAACCTGGGGACGGACACTGCCTTGTGCCACAATCCTCCTCCAAAGCTAGAGAGCAGAGAAAGGTGAAAGAGTTGATAAACGTGGCTCTGCCGGGACGTTTGTGTTGCTCCCAGGGCAGGATGAAGTCCTCCATGCTCATGCCTCAGAGCCTGCAGGATGCGTGGTGACGTTCTGGTATGTGAGGCACATGTGGTCGTGACACATCCCAGGGCGCAGGACACATATTCAAGGGTGTGGACCACGTCTGGTTCATGGCCCGTTGCAGGGAACGCATGTGACATATTTCAGGTGCGGGACACAGGCAGTGACACAGGCTGAGGTACGGGATGAGTTTCCATGTGCAGAAGGGCTCCCAGACACCCACCCACCAGCTCCTGGTGTGGCCGGGGCCGGGCGTCTTGCTGCACAGCAGGGGCACCACGGCAGCGGCAACGTGGGCGAGCATCACCCGGTGGCCCTCCAGCCCCTGGCCACCTCCAGCCGCCCCTCGGAGGTGCTGCCGGGGCAGCGGGCACCCTCCCGGCCAGCGTTTATCCTCTTAGCCATCCTGCAGCGATCCGGCACTAATTCAGCCTTAAACACAGGATTGTCAGAAATTGGAAATGGAAGAATAGGCAGATTATCCCCCCGGCGCCAGCGTTAAACACGGGGAGCGGCAGCTGCCGCGCGAGGAGGGCTGGGGCAGCGTTCTGCCCCCAGGCTCAGCATCCTCTCCGTGCGGCGCTTTGTGCCCCCTCAGCCAGCTCCAGGCTGGCTAATGAATTAAATAGCAGGTTATGCCAGGCCCGTGTTAACTGGAAACACCGGCTCTATCCCCAGAAAAGCTTTAAACCCAGCAGATGCTCCACTGACAGCTGCCAGCAGGTGACCGAGGCTGGGATCTACCACTGCTGCGACAAACCTCTGCCAAGACAGCAGCCCCAGCAGGAGGAGGTTTTCCAGCTTCTGCAGTGAATCGGGACAGCGTTTTCCCTGGCTCAGCAAGGATGGCAAGAGCTGAACGCTTCGGGGAGATGTTCAGATACAGGCCAGGGTGCAAAAGCTTCCAGGACAACACCAAGGCTGATTGCGGGAGCCTTTGCAGTCCCACAGACAAAACACAGTGCTACAAAATGTGGAGAAAAAGAAAAAAAACACAGAGGCTAGGATGTTTTGCATTGCACTGTGGCACTCACACCAGCCAGAGGGCCCTGGTGGCCAAGGCACAGTTTCTCACGTGCCACTGCTACGGCCAGACCCAGAGGCTGGCGCTGCGGGCAGTTGTCTGTGCCACAGGGGGCCCCTTTGGGATTTTAGCATCCCTTCAGGTGGGGGGAGCTGCACATTCCCTTGGGAGCAGGGAGGTCACCTCACCACGCTGGGAGCTGCTTTGCCACGATGGGTTTTGTAGAAAAGAAACCGAATTTTGCAGCATAACAGCAGCAGGGATGGGAACAACAGCACAGAGCAAGCCGTGCGGCCGGGGCTGACATGGTCAAGTTGCACGGCAGCGCAGCACCTTGGCCTGACTTCAGCAAGTCCCACTTGGGACCTGGACAGGGGGTCAGCTCCCAGGTTTTCCACCTTTATAAGCTCATTAAAAAAATAAATAAATAAAAATAAATTAAAAAAAACACTCTTTTCCCTACAATCCCCCATTTCCTTCATGATCATTAGTCATCGATCACGATGATTAATAGGACCAAACATAGCAGGACTAGAATAAAAGATGGAAAATGGGAATCTCTGCAGCAAACTGCATGATGCCGCTGGTGTGGGCTGGGGCACAGGGGCACCTTGGTGGCACCCCAGCCCAAAGCTTGGCCGAGCATTCGGGCTCCTGCAAGCAAGAAGCCAGATGAATTACACGACAGCCTGGCTCTGCTGGGAAGACAAAATCACAGCAAAGCCCTTAACGTCCCTCCGGGGGACAGCAGG